GCTGCCCCAGAATAACACAGTAGGAAAGGACCTTGGAGGTCTTCTAGTCAACCCCCTCTTTGTCGCTTGGCCAAGTTGACCTGACAGAACAGTTCTAGAGTCAACATCAGGCTGGATGGGCTGCCCCAGGCGAGTTCCTTAGAGGAGGCAGGGGAGAACAATGGGGATGCGAAGCTGGGACCCTCTGCTGAGCTCTCCTTCTCTTCCCTTCTCACAGCAGGAAGAGAACGTCCTTCTTGCAAAATCTCCTTCCTTCCTTCCTTCCTTGGCAATTCCTAGGATGCTCAACTTCATTTCTGGTTAAGGAAGGTCGGAAAGGCTCAGGGCTCGCCCCCTTTTCTCTGTGAGGCTCTAACTCTTTGCAAGAGGATATGGGGTGATTGTTGGGGGGCAGAGCCAGCATCCAGCCCGTGCGTGGATTGCAAGGGCCCTTCCCTCCCGTCCTCCCCTTTCCTCCACTCCAAATGGCTGCAGTGCTCCCAATCCTGCTCCGTAACCAAAGGTGGAGGTGAGTGAAATCGGGAGACCTGGGATTTTGCTGCTGGGCAGAGCCCAGGATCCGACGGTCCTTCTGACCCCTCAGTTTGTCCACCCAGGGACTTTGGGCGCCGTTGTTTCCCTTGCGATTAGTCTCTGAAATTCCAGCGGAAGGGATGAGTTGGCTGGTGCCGTCTCTGCATGGCAGGGTTTGCAGGGCGCTGCAGTGGCCGGCTGCTTCTCGGACTCCGACTTTGCTGAGATTCGGTCAGCCTTGAATCTGAAGAAAGGGATCTTTGGGCCCCCCCAGAAATGCAGCAGGAAGACGAGCGAGATCCTCGTAGGGGGGAAATGATCAGGGATTTGCTCTGCAGTGGGGAAGGGAGACATTTTCCTACTGCAGAGCCTGCAACAAACTCAGGGTGTGTGTGGACCCTCCTGAAGGGGAGGCGATGCTCTTCCAGTGCTTCCAGGCCTGACCTGCTGGTTACATGGTTCTCCCACCTCCATACACACACACACACACACACACACAGACACACAGCAAAGAGACTTGCTCTAGATAGGATTGAGGGATAGCAAGAAAGAGAAAACAGGGAGGAAAGGGGTATGCAAGATGGGCTGGTGGTTGCATGAGGGGAGGGGGGTGCCTCCCAGGATGGAAATTTGGGGCTTTGAAGGTCCCTGAAGGAAGGAGGGCAAAAGGATACCTGGATGGGGCGAGGGGTTGAAGGAGGAGAACAGAATTGGAGAAAGCAGGGTTGAATTCTTCGTGCTGTGTGTGGAGGGAAGGGAGGGAAGGGAAGGGAAGGGAAGGAAAGGAAAAGAAGGAGAGGGGGGGGGAAAGGAAAAGGAGAATGGTGGAAGAAAGGAAAGAAAAGGAAGAGGAAGGGTGGATTTGTGGTAGATACTGTGGAACAGCCATGCTGGGCAACTGTTGCTTAGAAAGGAGAATTTTCTTGGTTTTGGCAGCGCGAAGCATGCTGAGGTGGTGTCCAGCAGGAGCTCCCTTCCCTCTCCAGCAAACTAGAATGGGTGCTAGTTTGATTCCCTCTTTGTGAATGCAAAACAATGGATGCCCAACAAACTCTTGGGCGGAGGCAGGCCGGGGGGGAGGCTCTCTTCTGTGGAGAAACTGGGCCACTGGATTTAATTTCTTCCCCTCTCTGGAAGCAGCTCAATTTTCAGAGCTCCTGCAGCTGAAGGCGGAGCAACTTTTCAGGAATGGGTAATTAGGCAGCTGATGAGTTTTTGGCATGCCTAGCCAGCCTGGAGTGTGGTTTCCGCAGGCAGACTTGAGGCAAGGTGGGTGGGGGGGCGGGGGTCAGCCAGCCTGAATGCAAACTGAGAGGGGGCTACTGTGGAAAGGAGGGCTCTCCAGGAGAGGGTGGGGACTGTTGGAGATCTGGGCATCCGAGGAAGTGTGAAAGGAGCTGCCACTAATTGCAGATATTCTGTTCTTGTCTACCTTGGACAGCTCCCCTCTGATTCAGCCACGGGGCCTCCATCCTCCTCCTCCTCCTGGCCTCCTCCTCTGCCCTGAGGCAGCCTTGCCACAATTGCTCTGCTGGCCCCTTTTCCAAGTCCCTTCCTGGGTTTCTGGAGAGGCAGAAGAGAGACACCCAGGGTGATTTATCTCTCGTCCTGCATTTTTCCTCCCCTTTGGCTTGCATTCATTATCCATCTGCTCATGAAAGGAAGGAAGGGCCGTTGACTCGCTCAGAGGCTCCGCAGAAGAACGCAGAGCACGCAAAGCTTCGTTTCCTTTGTCGCTGAGCACAGCTTAGCTGCTGCGGCCCCTCTGCCCTTTCTCTTTTTTTGGGGGGGAGGGGAGAGGAAGAAGAGTTGAGGACTTTTCGGATGACCTGGGGTGAGTGAAGGGATGAGTTGGGGAAGAAATGAACTGAAACGCCCATCCTATCCCCAGCCAGTTCTCTGGCGAATTGGGTGTAATTTACAGTGCAATTAATCCAGTGCTTCTCTTCCTTGCCAGCCAGCGCATCCTGCAAAAGCGGGTTAAGGAATGGGGTGGGGGGGGTGGGGGGATTGTCACGCTGGTTTTAATTGGGATGTAAGACCCAGATAGCAAAGCGGAGGCAGCGTGGTTCAAAGAGGGGGGCTTTGAAAAAGGCCAATTGAAGGAAGAGGACAGGTGAGACAACAGCTTAGGAACTCTGCTCATGGGGAATGGAGGGTGCCTTTAGGACAGTGGTGGGTTCCTTTGGCCTCCAAGAGAATCAAAGAGTTTAAGAGTCAGCGGGGGAGGGGGCCGGGGGGGGGGGCTCAGAACAGGTCCTCCTCTGCAAACAGCAGAAAGCTTTTCAGGTGATTTCCTGGCCACGTTTTCTTCCCAGTGGCCTTGAATTCTGGTCTGTTCTGGTGGAAGAAAAAGACTTGGGTGGTTTGAATTGAGTCAGAGAAGAAGAGGGGGGAGGCGATGCCTCTTCCCCCCTCCCATCTCTTGTATTATGTAAATAAATGTGATCTAAATCTGTCCATCTCTATCTCTCTCTACTAGCCTGTCATTAATTCTGAAATGCACTCAGGAACTGGGGAGGGAGGGGGCAGATGGAAGGGAGAAGAGGAAGAAGGGGGGGGAAATCTCCCATCCTTTCTCCTTCTCCTCCCTTCCGTCCATCTCTCCCTTCCCCTCCTTTCAGATCAGTTGTACTTTGAAGTTTCTCAGTGGGCTGGTTCTTTCCCCTTTCTTAAAGAGAACAGGGCGAAGCAGGCAGAAGCAAAAGGAGCCAAACTCTGCCTCCTTTGTGGCTTTTGTGGCCACCTTCTCTGCCCCCCCCCATCAGGATGGAAGAGAGCTGCATTGCAGAGCTGGAGAAAACCACCCCTGCCTTCCTCTGAGCCCCCGGGGCCTCTGCCCGGATCTGCCTCCCTCTCCGGAGCACCACCGTCTCCAACGCACCTTTTCCATCTCTTGCTCAGCTTTGAGGGATGTCTTGGAGGCCAAGGGCCTTTGTGCCCCCCATCCGAAATGATCCTGGATGCCCCTTGCCCTCCCTGCCTGGCAGAATCTCCATTCCTGAACTCCCTCCGTGCAGCTTTCCAGAGCCCCCCCCCCCGAAAGGCTCTTCCGCTATAACTTTGAACGGGGCCAATAAAAAAAAATATGTGGCTACAGCAATCCTGTACGGTCACAACTGTGTTACTTCAACGAATCTTCTTCTATTTAGTTTTTCTTTTGAGGGTAGGCGGTCCCCAGTAACTTGGCTCAGACAGGCAGTGCCCCCCCTCAACTAACCCTTCTGCAGAAAGCCCTCCCCCCAGGGTCTTTCCTTCTCCCCCTCCAGGAACTGGGTGGGTCAACCAGAGGCAGAGAGGAGGATCTCTTCCCAGCTCTGATTCTCTCCCGCATGCCTGGAATGAGTGACTTATTAGAGGAAACTTGGCAGTGTTTCCAGATGCTCTTCAGTCAGCCGAGAATCTGTTAATGGAGTTAGATAAGCGACAAAACTGGTGTGTGTGTGTGCAAAGCCCAACAACAGGCTTGTCTTCTCCTGCTTGCCCAGTCAGTTCTTCACGCGGATGTCAGCCAGCCATTTGGAAACACGATGAAAGCAAGTACTCTTTGGAGAAAGTGGCTAAGAGTATCCCTCTGATCCAAGTCATGTCGGTGGTTCTTTCTCCCTCTTAAATTTGGACTTTGGAGGGGTGAGGGGTGCAAAAGTCCCGCAAAGGCAGAAATCCCTGCAATATCCCCCAAGGGCTACCATCTTGTGATTCCGGCCAGGGGTGAAGAGGCCATTAAAGCTGGCAGCTTCAGTGAAATGTGGGCCAAAGACAAAATGACATTGAAGGGAGAGGCACTCCAAGCCACTTAGAAAATTAACAGTTGGGAGTCTGCAAAAAGATTGTCAGAGTTCTGCTGAGGCACCAGAACTGGGGAATGACGAACGGTGGGAGGAAGCAGAAGGAAGCCAGCTCTTCTGGCCATCCACATGGGTGCCTGTTCCAACGCTCCCAGTTTGATTGCTAAAGTGCCCTGCTGCTGGCCGGTTTCCAGTTGCAAGCGAGCTGGCATGCAGCAGGAATCCATTTACGAGAGTACTCTACTGGGAACCTTTTCTCCTTGCAATGCCTTGATGTGGTCCAAGCACCTGCAGGCAGAAGAGCCTCGGTTGGCCTGTAGAACTGACCCTTGCGTCCCAGTAGGGATGTTTTCGGACGGCGCAGGGTGTCAGGCCCAAGAAGGAGACATAGAATGACTTCTGAGTAGCTTGCCGTCTTAGCCCTTTTCTGCCGACCAAATTCTCCGTCCTTTGCTGTCTCTTTGCCCTCTAGAAGGCAGCCCCTCCCTCCTGGGAATCCAGACCACCTTCCACTACACCTGTGATGTTTGGGTAAATGGGAAGGAGATCGCAGCTGTAGATGACCTGAAAAGTGGAGAGATTCAGATATGCCTTTCCTGGAGTTGCCAGCTCCTCCTCCTCCTCCTCCTCCTCCTCCTCCTCCTCCTCCCACTTCAAGCTTACAAATCTTGTATTTTTCAGACACTCCCGACTTAGGCCATGACGGACACGGCAGTCAGCAGCAGCCCCGGCCAGTGGGGGTATCAGAGTGACCGGCAGATGGCTCTTCAGAGCAGGTGAGGAAGCTCCAGGCTCCGTCCGTCCGTAGAGTTCCCCTGGCAGCTGGGTGTCCATGCCACACTAAGCCTTGCTTTGAGTGACCCTGGTTTCCCGAGTTCGCCATCATGGGTGGCTTCGCATGATGTGCTCACCCTGGTTCTGCGCAGCACACGAAGACCAAAGCATAGGGGTTGAGATGCTGAGGGTGATTTCACGGGGGAGGTGGCCCTTCCCAGGCACATAGCGGCTTCTGGGGCCTGGAAGGAGCTGGTGGGGCCTCCTGCACTGGATGCTTCCAAGGAAGGAGTGGAGAGGCCTCTCTTTCAGGAGGGGGGGGCAACTACAGCAACCTAACGATTTGTGGACTTCAGCTCCCAGAATTCTGGCTCAGGAATTCTGGGAGTTGAAGTCCATAGGCCCTAAAGTTGCCATAATTCCCCACCCTGCTTTAGATGCTCTAGCTATGTACTGCACCAAACAGAAGGCTGGGCCTGATGACCTCAAGGATCCCAAGGACCGATTTGAACTGTCGGCCAGGGAATTTTGATGCTCTTTCCCTCCCCCTCTCACATCCTCTCCCCCTTTCCAACCTTGAGACGGGTGTCTGCACCCCATTCTGGAGGTGTCTGCACCCCGAGGCTGCCTCTGAGCCCAGGGCTTGTCTGCGCATTAATCAGTTCTGACCTCTGCATCTCGGTGACCGGCTTTGCCCGGCATAATTGAATTCAGCCTGTTAATTTCCACCCTGAAGCGCCTGTTCTATCTCGCCTCGTTCCTCGATTTAGTGCCTGAATTCAATTCCAGGAATTTAAATAATATATGCGTCTCTCTTGCTCCGCACAAGAACTCTTTGCTCCTTATCAACTGCCTGGATGCTAATGGCCTGCGGAGAAGGAAGAAGATGTACAGGGAGGGGGAGGGAGGGAATTCATTAGCTTTTAAATTGCTTGCAGGTCACTTGGGGGGGGAGGGCACAGCCGAGAGGGGCTGGGCTGCTCAGGCCACGGCTCTGCGGGTGTCTCGATTTGGTTGCTGGTGCATTTTGGCACACCGAAACATCAGTTCTGTTTTTTTTAGGGTTTCTGCTCCTTTGCCAAGCGTCCCCAACAGTTTTGTGATTAGGCTTTAGTAGTTCCTGCGAACTCTATGACATTTCTGACTTTTTCAAAAAGGGAGCAATTGCCCATAAGGTCTTTCATATATATATAGAGAGAGATAGATAGATATATAAATATATAGATGTCTCCCTTAGTCTCGTTCTGATTCACTTTTATTGCCGCAAGCTTTTCTGAATCCCGCAGGAGAGGCTGGCCCGCTGCACACAAATTCCTTTTATTATTTAGCAAAATATAGCTTGCCACTGTCAGGAAACGAAGCAGACTGATTCACACAAGACCGTGAGCCAAAAATGCTGGCTTATTATTTGAAGAGGACAAACAGGTTATTAAAGGAGCAGCCTTCCGAGACACAGCACTTATTTTCCACTTTGCTCTTCCTTGGCAAAGACAAGTGAGCTTTCCCTGTTTCTGGAGACCCAGCAGCCGACGGCCGCCTCTTCGGCCTGGTGGATCCGCGATAAGGGTGGTTTCTCCATCAAGCCACAGTTGGCCCTAGAGGAAGAATCATTTATGGGGTGATCCTGATCAGATCTGTGGGGCTTTGAGTCAGAATAAGAGAATCACAGGGTTGGAAGGGACCTTGGAGGTCTTCTAGTCTAACCCGAAGGGATCCCATTTTCGGAAACGTCGAGGAGAGGGACACGTGTCCGCACCCCCCCCTCTCCCCACTTGGATTCGGGACCTTTCTGTGCTTTCTCCCCAGAGCTCCCGAGGGCCACCCAGCCCGCGGGAAGCAGTCGGAACGTGGGCGGAAGGCCGAAGAGCTGACGGATGAAGAGAAGGAGATCATCAACAGGGTCATCGCCAGAGCCGAGAAGATGGAGGAGATGGAGCAGGACAGGATCAGGTGAGGGAGGGGAGAGCGGGACTCGCCCTTCCTTCTTCTGGCTCCCAGGAAAAGGGGAGACAGGGAAGAAAAGCCCCGGGAATGACGTGTGCTTTAATTCAAGATTGAGTGACGATTAAGTACAGGGAGTCCTTGACTTATGACCACATCTGAGCTCAATGTTCGGTTGCAACATCCCGGGATCCCCTTTTGTGACCATATTCACTTAACAACTGAGTTACTAACTTAACACCTTACAATGGGGCAAAGGTCTCAGCTAATAAAAGAAATTTGGGGGTCCACTGTGGTTGTAAGTCAAGGACTGCCTGGGCAGGGCAGGCGGGGCTTAGGGACCGCATTTATTTGAAGCATCGCTGCCTTCCTTAAGGCGCCACCATATTTATCACAAAAGCGGGCATCAGGGGGGGTCTAAGGCCCGTCTGCAGGGGGGTCGCTCAGCCTGGCTTCGTTTCCTGCGTCTCGTCTTCACTTTCGCCCATGAACCCCTCTTGATAGCCTGTCAGTGGAAGCTTCCCCGAGAAGCCCCCCCAAAGCAGCCCACCCACCCCTTAACGTGTTGCTGTGTGCCAAATCGGGACGTGTGCGCTCTCCCTGGAGACGTTTTGTGCCTTGCCAAAGATGGCAGGAGAAATATTGAGATCTTGCTGCGATCAGTCAACCAGATTGCCTGTCTGAAAAGCCGCCTGGCAGCCAACAAACACACCGAAGCGTAACTTCCTCCGCCAGCCCAAACAACAGACGATGGGGGGGGAGGGGGCTGGCTTTTGGCAATCTGAAAGGGGTGGGGGGTGCTTTAAGGGGAGCTGGCTTGGCTTGCCTGAAATCTGGACTTTCCCAGCTTTTCTGGATCGCTGTGGGCTTGGGCCCAAAACCCCAGGTTTGAAAGAAAGCTCAAGGTGACCACGGTCACGGTCCACAGGATCAAAACAAACCAGAACCGAGATTTGCAGGATTACAGGCTGGTTTGTGAAATCTGGCTTGCTTAGTCCGTATTGCAGGAGGAGAAGACGGAAAGTTCTGTCAGGGTTTGATCTGGTTTGACTTGGCAATTGGAGAAGCTTCGTTCTGGCTTTCAGACTCGCTGCTCCCTGGAAGCCTGTGACCTCGGTTCCCGGAGGGGGCCTTTTTAATACATCTGGGTAAAATCTGAGGTCCTTTGTAACCTCAATTCATCAGAATGGGGGCCAAGAGGTGAGCAAAACCCCAACAAAAAATAATTTAAGAGAATTAAATCCTCTTGATGATTGGGCTTTAACAATTTAATCTTCGATATTGCTGTAGGGGTGTCTTGCTTATTACCCCATGCTGTGCTATCAATTCTGCCTTTGCAGCTCTTCTCTTTTTTCCCCCCTCTTTGTTTTTTTCTCCCTCCCTTCCTTTGTGCAGTTTTGATAAATATTTAAACATGGAAATCTCTTGCAAAGTGGAGGTCTAGAGAAACCAATCGGCGCTGGTGGACCAGCATTGCCAGCTTTGAGATCAGAATGTTTAATCTCTGTTTCTCAACCTGGCAATGGGGGATTCTGGGAGTTGAAGCCCACCCATTTTTAAGTTGTCAACATTGAGAAATGCAGATTCTCGTTCCACTTAGGGGCGCCCCAAGACTTTTTTCCCCTCACATCCAAAAACTGGAACTGAATGCACCGCTGGACAGGCGAAATATATTTGCTCATCCTGTGCATTTTGCTGGCGTGGCTCCACTTGCATTTCAGATTTCCATCGCATTCCTACTTTGGGCTTTTTGAAAAAATAATAATAATAATAAACGATATACAGAACCTGACCAGCTAAAAAAGCAAAGCGCATTGGAAAGAAAAACTAGGTGCCAGTTTAGAGGCCTCTGATTTATTGGTTAGATTATTCACAAAGCTGGAAAACAGGCGAGACCCATCGCTATCTTGAAGGGTCCTTTTCTGGCCCCATCCTGATGACTCTAAAACTCTATGCCGCTGCTGTCCGATCTGGGTCACCCTACACCGGTGGGGAATGAGATTTCCTATGGGCCTGATTTTCCGATATGTCTCCGTAGCTGGCACTTCCCTCGCCTTGACACAGAACACATAATGCATTATTATTTTTATGGCACCTGCTATTTTTATCTTGCTCAGATTTGAGGCAGCCTGTCTCCCGGGCTGCGTTCAAACCTTCCTGCGTTCCGGATGTTTGTTTGTGTCTTGAGCGTAGTCTATCCCAGCAGCCCCCCCCCCCCGCAGCATTCCTGCTGCTAGGACAGGTTGGAGACCCCTGTGCCCCCTCCTCATTTGCCAAGGGGTGGGGGAGGTGCCTTCATTCTGGCTTGGGAGGGGGCTCTGGATCTCACACGTGTCCCATGGTTTAGGCGCCTCATGAACCGTCTGGACGACATGCGCCGTAACATCGCAGGCGACGGAGTGAACCGCTGCATTTTGTGCGGAGAACAACTCGGTCATCCGGGCTCAGCTTGTATAGTGTGTGAAGACTGCAAAAAGGTGAGGAGGGGTCTCTCTCTCCTGCAGGCTTTCTTGCCCCCCTTGCACAGGTGGCCGAGGGGTTTTCTTTCTGTCTCCCACTTCCAGGCAGCAACCCTCTCTCTCTCTCTCTCTCTCTCTCTCTCTCTCTCTCTCTCTCTCTCTCTCTCTCTCTCTCTCTCTCATTTGCAAAATGCCTTGCTTTCTGCCTTCCCCGCCTTTGTTAAAACTTATTTTTTTAATTCATCTTCTTAATTAAGTCTGTTAATTAAGTCTGTTAACTGACTGGGAGGCAGCCTCTGCACAAAGCCAGGCTGGTGGCATCTGGGCTGCAGACAGGGCTAATGAAACGCTCCTCGGGACTCACAACTTTGAACCCGGCGCCTTGCCCTCTACGGCCCCCAGGACAGCCCCTAGCCATGCCCGTCTCTCTTCCTTGCAGAACGTCTGCACCAAATGCGGCACCCAGACCACCAACAACCGGCCCCACTCCGTCTGGCTGTGCAAGATCTGCATCGAGCAGAGAGAGGTGGGTCCTGGAAGCACGTTTTGCCCTCTCGGCCCCTCCGGGATGGGCCCAGGGCTTCCCGCCTTTGGAAGGCCAGCGTAGGAGAGGGATCCAGAGGGCTAAAAGTCCTTTGATCAAATCGGATCCCTTTAATCTGGACCTCCCTCTTCACTTTCTAGGTATGGAAGCGCTCAGGCGCCTGGTTCTTCAAGGGCTTGCCCAAGCAGACCCTTCCCCAGCCCATGCCCATTAGCAAGAAGCCCCAGATGGCTGCCAGCAGACCTGCTCCCCCCACACAGGAGCCAGCAGCACCGTACTCTCACCAGCAGACCCCCGGTGAGCCCTGACGGTTTGGCCTTCAGAGTTTGGATGGGTGGCGGGGAGACAGATTTGTCAGGCGGAGCTGAGCAAACAATATTCTGAGCGCCACCATTGGGAGGCTGGCTAACGGATCCTGCCCTGTAAACTTTACCCAGAAAATAGGGGGCTTTTGGGGAGGGGTCGTGCCCAGGTGCCAGAGAAGTCTTTGGAGGCAATTTTTGGCATCCCATAATAACACTTGCAGAAGAGCCGAAAGGGCAGCCTCTGTCGTCCTCTGTCCTGTAGCACCTTTTCGGTGTCTCCATTGTCGCCCTTTCGGAAGCAGTTGATAAATTCCCAAATAAAGGAAAACAAAACCTAGAACTATCCGTCCGTTTTGGGCTTTGGAGACCTGAAATCTCCTTTTTTCTCCCCAAGAACAAGCCGCAGCTGCTGCTTCCGCTGAGCAGGGCTTCTACGGTAAGACACAGACGCTTCCCTGCTGGGTTGGTTTCCGTCCTGGACCAGTTTTGCAGGGGGGGTTCCATGCTGACCCCACCACCACTCCCCCCCCTCCCCAAAGGATTCTGCAGCTTCTGCAGATCTGCTCTGCCGCAGCCTGGCCTTGGCTGCCCCCTCCTCAAAGCTGCGGTTGTCAGCTGCTCATCCGGAAGAGCTCATTTTGAGTGATTGGGCCATTATTAAAATCTGAATTACTCTTGTCAATTGCCTGGAATTGCCAAGCCCGCTGGGAACGCCAGGCTGGGCTGGCTGATTGACGCTGTCTGAACACTCATTAGCTGGCTCCCCAGAACAGCTGATCCAGGCAGCCAAAGGGGGAGGGGGTGCAGCAGAGAGAGGGAGAGCAAGAGCACCAAGCTTCTGTTTTCTTGGGGGGGGGGGGAATAGGAAAAAATGTCCTCTTTTCCATCCCAGACAGGCAGAGAGTCTTGGCTTCACCTGGGACGAATGAAAATCAGAATCCCTTGCAAAGCCTTTGGCTTCTTTTCTCCCTTGCTGATGGCTGCTGGGGGAGAGGGTCACAGGGAAAAGGGGGTACAGGGAAGGAGGGGGTCTCTAATGGTGCGTCCTTCCTCTCTGCTCTGCAATCTTTCATTGCAGCTGCTATTGGAAGGACATCGGGAGTGTCCTTAGCAGGGCTGTGCTAGGTTGTCCTCTGGGGGGGCTCAGAAAACTCAAAATAGGGGCCACACCAGGCAATGCAAGCCCTGCTCTTCCTTGCATGCACTGCGCCTTCCTTCAGTTCTCTCCGAACCCCATTTATTCAAGGGAGCAACTGCAGGAATCAGCTGGGGTACCTGGAGCTTTCTAGCTGTCTCACTTCCCCCCCTCTCTCTTTGTGTTTTGCTGTGATCCCCTCCCCAAAAAATCCCAGGAGCTGAGCCAGCTTCCAATCGGGGAAATTACCCCCCACTTCACCGCAAACCTTCCGAGGCTAGGATGGGACCAAGTGGCAGCGAATTCCCCAGAGAGGGCCGGCCAAGCCAGGACTATCCAGCTGAGAACGAAGCCGCTCGGAGCCCAGCAGGTGAGGGGGGAGCAGAGGAAGACAAGGGGGTCTGTGGGAGAATGTGTGAATGCGAGAGGGGCCTGGCTGTACTGTGCTCTAAAGCCCAATGTTGAACCTCCTCTGTGGGTGCTTGTGGGTGTGGGTGTGTAAATCTGGAAACCTCTGCCATGCAAAGAGTGCCTCTGAGAATGTTTCAGCTGCCCTTCTCCATCCTCATCTTGGTGGATCTACCATCCCCAGATCCCGTAAGATCTTTGCAGCTGGATCTGTCCTGTTTTCTCTATCCTCTCTTTCCTGTGCAGGGGTCAAGCGAGCCAAGGCGGGCCCAGCTGTGGGTGCCAGGGAACCTGCTGCGCCTCCCCGCCAGAACCCCTCTGCCCAGGGGGCAGGACCAGGTCCAGTATGGCGGCTGCGTCCCCCTGGGGACCCAACGCTCAGCAGGGCCCACGTGTGAAAGGGGGGAGGGTCAGAAGGAGCTTCTGGGCTGATCTTTTACCTCCCTGACATCTGTCCCGGCTGGGCTTCTTTCCCGACTTGGCCCATCGCAAAAAGTTGGAGCAGATTATGTCCATGTCTGTTTCCAGAGAAAAAGTCCCCCTGTTGGTGTCCTTTGGCAATTCTCTGCTGATCTCTCCCCTCTGCTTTCACAGGCGCCCCCTCCACAGACCCCCCCACCTCTCTTCCGGCTGCGCCACCCAGGGATGAGAGCGCTGGGCCCGGGTACTCCACAGCGGGAGCAGAGAGGCCCCCACGCCAGGGGGCTCTGTACGGCCAGGCCATGGCTCCGCCTGCTGCCCCGGCCGCCACCCGGCCCCCTCCTCCCGAGGATGACGACGAAGAGGAAGCCAACAGCTACGACTCGGATGAGACAAGTAGGTGATTTGACCCTCGCTCGGCCACTTGAAGGCCTGTGGACTTCAACCCCCAGAATTCCCCAGCCGGCATCCTCAAGTTTTCAACTCTCTGTTGGCTGCCTTGAGGGCCAGTAGCTTACTCTTTTGACACAAAGTGTGGCACAGCTAGAGAATCTGACCTTCCAGGGTTTGGGGAAGTTCCCGGCATCTTCTTCTCCATCTCCTCTCTCGCTGTTGTACAGGCCGTCCTCGACTTACGACAGTTCATTTAGTGACCGTTCAAAGTTACAACGGCACTGAAAAAAAGAGACCTATGAGCGTTTTTCACACTTGCGACCGTTGCAGCGTCCCCAGGGTCACGGGATCCAAATCCTTCCCTTCCTTCCCCGGGGTGGCCTCAGACTATGAGCGGCTGCCCCTCCCCCTGTGCCCATGTCGGGTTTTAAGAACGCTGCCCTGGCAAAGGGGCATGGCAGGTGCCCTCTTCAAAGTCTCCTAACACCCTTCGTTTTAAGGACAGCAACGCCTTTCCTCTGCCCTCCTCTGCCCTCTTTCCTTGCGTGCCTTGCCTTTTATAATGTACGCCGAGGGCCTGGTTGTCCTCACAGCTGCCGTTTTCAAACGGCTTGGGGGGGCATCTTTTGGGCTGGACGGGGAGCCCCACATCACCCCTCGCTCCTTGCCCACAGCTACCCTGGGGGCCTTGGACTTCAGCCTCTTGTACAACCAGGAGAACAGTTCTCTGCAATGCGCCATCATTAAGGCCAAGGTACGTCTCTCCGTTTCCCCCAGCGGGGGTAACACTGGTGCCTTTGCATCCAAACAAGCTGGGCCACCTGGGGTTTTAAAGTGTGGGTAAAACTAGCGGCAGGGAAGCAGGCAAAGAAATCACCCCGTCCGCCCCGGCTTTCCTTCTCTTGTTGACCTCTGCGGGATCCTTTTCCACCAGGGCTTGAAGCCGATGGACTCCAACGGGCTGGCGGATCCTTACGTCAAACTGCACCTGTTGCCGGGGGCCAGCAAGGTAACTGGGGTGTGTGTGTCTGGTGTCCAGCTTGGCCCAGTTCGGTCTCTGAAATGGGACCGCTGGAGACTTTTGCCTGTTGGCGTTTTGGACTCAAGAAAGGGAGGTGCCAGGCTGCCTTTCCTTCCGTTTCCGCCAGTCCAACAAACTGAGGACCAAAACGCTGAGGAACACCCGGAACCCCGTGTGGAACGAAACGCTGGTGTACCACGGCATCACGGAGGAGGACATGCAGAGGAAGACCTTGAGGCAAGTAAACGGATCCGGCCCTGATCAGACGGCACCCAGGGATCCCCAGCAGACCGGGGGCAGCCATCGTTTTCGACTTTTAAGACGGGGGGGGACTTCGACTCCCTGATTTGGGGCAGGGGTGAGTTCCCATCTCTCTCAGTGGGAGATGGACAGTTTGATACAGGGGGGCTCTCGCTTCTCCTGCTTAGGATCTCCGTGTGTGACGAAGACAAATTTGGCCACAACGAGTTCATTGGGGAGACGCGGGTGGCGCTCAAGAAGCTGAAAGCCAGCCAGAAGAAGAACTTCAACATCTGCCTGGAGAGGGTCATCCCGGTGGGTGCTCCCACCCCCACCTCTGCTAGCGGGTGGGGGGAAGGCAGGAGGGGCAGGTGCAGGGGGGGTGCCCAAGGCAGGAGGGGGCTCAGAAAAGGTGGCTTATTTATGTAGGTAACCAACTCGGAGGGCTGCTTACAAGCCGGGAGGATCTCTGGGCAACAAAGAGGAATGGAAACACAATACAGTCCAAACCACACACACACACACACACACACACAACCTCATTCAAAACAAAAAGCAACGCTGTTGCCCTGATAGAACTTAAATCACCGTTAAATTGGGAGTGGGTAGGGGAGCTTGGGAGATTCTCTCTTAGATAATGCATCCAAAATGAATCAAATCTGCCTCCTTAAATCGCCCTCTGGATGATGCTTCTCCTCTGCTCCTCCCAGATGAAGCGGGCAGGAACCACCAGCTCCTCGCGAGGAATGGCCTTGTACGAAGACGAAGTAAGGCGTAGTTTGGGCGAAGTGAGGCGTAGTTTGGCTTCCCGGGGAGAAAACGGGAGTTGAGTCGATTTCTGCAACTTTGAAGGAAAAGCAGAAATCCGGAGTCTCTCCCGCAGCCTTCCATTCCCTTGAGCGGGGCGCCCCCTTGTGGCCTGATGCATCCTTTGCTGCCTGCCAGTATTTCTCCTGCCGCCCAGCTGCTGAATCTGATCTCAGGCATCATATAGGCACTTATGTCACATGGAGGGTCTTCCATCAAGGGGCTCCTCTGGGGGCCGAGTCCCCCCTGCCCAGCACTCAGCGGGTGGGGAGAGGAGGGTCTCTCTGGAGCTGGTGAGCAGGGAGCAGGTGATGGTGGTCCGACCCTTGGCGATTCTCTGGACTGGGTGGTCTCTCCCCAATCGGATCTTCCCCCGTTCCTTGCACCTGTTCTGTGCTCTGACTGTGATGGCTGTGATAGTGGAGCAGAGAGATACGCACAAGCCCCCCCCCCGGCCCCCTTTTCTCTCCCCTGCAGATGGAGCAAGGCGGAGAGGTGGAAGAACGCGGGAAGATCCTGGTCTCCCTCATGTACAACACCCAGAAAGGGGGCCTGGTGGTGGGAGTCGTGCGCTGCGTCCATTTAGCTGCCATGGACGCCAACGGCTACTCGGACCCCTTTGTCAAAATGTAGGTCTGCCTCTGAAAGGCCCCCTTTGCAGGAAGCCTGGCCAAGCCCTCTCTGGCCCACTCAGACAGGCACAGCTTTTTGGGGCGTGGGGGGCCTGTAATCTCAGCCAAGGGAGTAGAGAGGGGTCCAGGGGTTGCAGAAGTGGGGGTCAACCCCGTTCCTGGTGCTGCCCAGCCAATCTGCAAAAGGAGAAAGAAACTGACACCTCCCATCCTTGGCCGCTAATAGTTGTGCTCTCTGGAGCTCATGGGATACGTAGTCCTATGCCACTGGGTTGGCACAATTGGTTGGCACCACTATTGGCATAATCACCATTTATTCCATAGGTCTCTTCTTTGGGGTCCTTACACTTCTTTCCCCTCGGGCTATAGCCCCCAGGCCACCACCCCCCACGTCACCCACAATTTATTTTGTGGGTGGGTTTTGCATCCCTTTGACAATCTTGCTAAGGAGAAATTTCCTGGCAGTGAGAACAGTTAATCAGTGGAACAACTTGCCTCCAGAAATCGTGGGCGCTCCGTCTCTGGAGGTTTCCAAGAAGAGACTGGACAGTCACTTGTCTGAGATGGTATAGGTTCTCCTGCTCAGGCAGGGGGGTGGGGGGGTGGACTAGAAGACCTCCAAGGTGCCTCCCAACTCTGTTTTTCTCTTATTCTTCCTCTCTGCTTTTGATTTTTCCTCTTTTTCCCTTTCGCAGTTTCTTAAAACCTGACATGGGCAAGAAAGCCAAGCAAAAGACGCAGATTAAGAAGAAGACGCTGAACCCCGAATTCAACGAGGTGAGGTCGGAGCCGGGCCAAAGATTCTGGTCCCCCCCCCTGAAGTTTTCCCTGACCCCGACATCCCCACCAGCCTGTTTGCCTTTTTCTGTCTGCCGCCTGGCCTTGGCTGCTTTGGGCAGATGGTGGGCTAAATGGTTAAAAAATGTATTTTCAAAAATAACATGTCACTCTTTTAAAAAAAAATTCATTTGGGTGCCAAAAGGGGAAGCTGGTAGCAAACCAGTTCCCTTCTTCAAAGGCTGAAACACACACACACTCACACACACACCTTTTTTGTGTTGTTACTCTTGTTGATCTGCTCCTGGAGGTTCCTTTCCGCCTCTTGACCCCTCGTCTTTTTGGATAGGAATTTTTCTACGACATTAAGCATAGCGACCTGGCCAAGAAGTCCCTGGATATCTCTGTGTGGGATTACGACATTGGGAAATCCAACGATTATATCGGTGAGCGGCTGCGGGGAGGAAGATGGGAGCACATCCGGGAGGGGTCCGCTGGCTGGTTTGGAGGTGGGATTCTAGGATGGATGCTCCTTCCCTGTGTCAGTCTGGGGGGGGGAGGCTGGTGGGAAGGGCCTGCCCTAATCTGAACAGGAGGGCAGGTCCTTTAAGGCAGGGGTCTCCAACCTTGGCAATTTTAGGACCTATGGACCTTAACTCCCAGAATTCCCCAGCCAGCTAGAATTCTGGGAATTGAAGTCCACAAGTCTTAAAGTTGCAAGGTGGGCCACTTCTGCTCTAGAATTTAAACAATTTAATATAATTTAATCTAAAACAAGGAGCATGCTGGGAGTTGGTCCCCAGGTCTTAAGTTGCCAAGGTTGGAGAGCTGGCCTTAAAGTTCAGATTCCTGCCTCTTCAGTGGCCCCTTTCATTTGAGGCAGAAGACCTGGGAAGGGGTGCTTTAAGGTGACCCCTGTCCAGGGTGGTGGGCCCTCTTTGTTCTTCCTAAACCCCCCCCCCACTTTCTCTGTCTCCTGCAGGCGGTTGCCAGTTGGGCATCACAGCGAAAGGAGAGCGCTTGAAACACTGGTATGAGTGTCTCAAAAACAAGGATAAGAAGATCGAACGCTGGCACGCCTTACAGAACGAGCACCACGTGTCCAGCGATTAAGGGGGCTGTGCCCCTCTGCCCCCCCATCTCCAGCCCATCTCGTCTTCCAACCCCTCCCCCCACGTCCCTTTCGCTCTTTGGAAACCGACTGCTGGGTTCCCTCCCTCCCCTGCAGGAGCCGGGCTCACGCCCTCCCCTCTGGGCCCAGGTCATCTCACCCGCCTCGCTGCCCTGGGCCTCTCTCGGCCTCCCACAATGGGGGCTCTGAGTATTTCAAGTGATAGCCCAGTTTGGCTCTGCTTCTCCCACCCCTTCCGATGCCATCTTGAGCTCCCCCCCTTCCTTCCTTCCTTCCTTCCTTCCCCTCCAGAAGCGGTGAATGCTCCAACACTGGAAGTTTTAAAGAAGAGATTGGACAGCCATTTGTCTGAAATGGTATAGGGTTTCCTGTCTGAGCAGGGGGTTGGACTAGAAGACCTCCAAGGTCCCTTCCAACTTTCTTGTTCTGTTCTATTCTATTCTCCCTCTCTTCTCCTTCCTCCCTCCCTCGCTCCCTCCCTCCCTCCATCTCAGCATGCAAAAAGCCCCTCTTTCTCCACACTGCTGCTTCTCCTGCTCCTGGGGGGACCCGAAGCCCCTCCTGGCCGCACGGCTGTGGTTCCCTGGCTGCTTCGCGGAGGGAGGCAGCAGCTTAAGAGAAGAGAAGCAACCCCGGCGGAGGCCGCGTGAAGCCAACCCCGTTTCTGTGATCAGAGAAGGGAGAGATCCGTCCCTGGTCCAAGTCTTTCCAGTTTTGCCCGGTGCTGGATCCACAGAGAGTCTGCAGGGCCTCTCATTTCTGGATTCGTGCAAAGGGCCGCCAGCCCCTTCCGCTGCCTCGGAGTGGCTCCTTCAAGATGGAGGATGGCTCCGTCGGCAGGTCCTCCTTCGCTCCTTGCGTTGACAGGCGGTGCCGGCGTGGCTCCTTCCATGTAGCTCACCTGGGATCACCTCAAACTTTGGTTTCTTTTCCTGCTCCTCAAACCCAACAGCAATTTCAGGGAGCGAAGAAGCATCTAATCGTAAGAAGCCAGCATCTCCCTCCTTGGCCACGGCCATCTCTCGGTCTCAAGACACAGGACGATTCTTCCTGAAGGGGGGATGCTGGTTTAGGGTGGACAAAATGGAGAAAAAAACCCCTCCCTTTTCCTCCATGGCTACTCTTCTCTCCTGTTCTGCTCCATCCCCTACAACGGACCCACCCTCCAAGTCATTCTGTTTTCTCAAAATCTTTTTTCAATACTGTTTTGTACCTACAGTATGAAAGTTATCGGAGAACTAGAGCAACTAGACAACTAGACCCGTAGTCGTTTCCGATTGATTTGAAGACACCCCCCCCATCCCCTTCCCATCACCCAATGATTGGTGGACATTTGCAGTGAAGATGCCCTTCCTTTCTTCCTTCCTTCTCTCTTTGTAATTAAAGCATGCACTTAGACACCCCCAAAAAAACCCTCCTGCCTCCCTCCTTCCCCCCACTCCCTGCCCGGCCTTCTTTTCTCCCTTCACAGTTGCATTCGATTAAGCATGCAGTGATTTCACCAAGAAAAACAAATGTTGACAACTTATTTAACGGGCAAAAAGTGTCACCAAGAAGAGAAGAATCTTCCTGGTTTTCCACTGCATGCTCTTGTAAACACCCCCGTCCCTGCCAGGCCATCCTTCTCACCTCTGATGTAATAAAGAGAACCGTAGGGAGAAGCTGGGTGGTGTCTCCTGCTTTTTGTTCATTCCTGCTTTCTCGGGAAGGGGCCTCTGGCTGAGCTGAAGGAGAAGGGATTGGACCTCAAAAGAGGTTGGAGGTTATTTAAGCAACTCTGTAATAAAGGTAAATAAAGGCAGCCGGAAGGATCATTCTGGTCATTTTACCCAAGTGAAACTCAAGCCCCCAAAAGGTGTTGGCTGTCGGCTGCTGAAGTCTCTCCCTCCCTGGGTGTCAGCAACCTTTCCACGGCCCCCACCCCCACCCCAAAATGAAAGCCAAAACATGAAATCTTGGGAAATTTCAGTCGGCTCCTGGAATCTCTGTCCCTATTTTCATTTTAACTTGGATTTGTGGGTGACCAAAACTGATCACTTTTAAATGCTGTTGGTGGAGGGGGGGGGGTGTCTCTTCCAATTTGGTCTTTTCTTCTTTTTTTTAACTGCATCAAGTAAGGGAGAGCTGCCTTCCCTCTGTCGACTGGGTAAAGCCAGAGGTTGTCCAGCTGAGGTTTCCATATGAACAAAACACCCATTGAAGCCTTTTGACCCTCCAGAGACCCTCCGTTTCCCAGAATGACAATTGTTCTGAAACGGGGTACTGTCGTTGGAAGGGGAGCACAAAACTGGGGGTCCCCAAGCGTCGTGTTCAGGACAGCTCACAGCAAACCAACCAGCTTTAGAGAGGGGAACAGGGCTTCTTCTGAGTGTCCTGAAAAATTGTTCTGCAGAAGTCAACCCTTCAATCAATCCTTCGGAAGAAAAAGGTAAAAAAAAAAGAAAAAGCAATTTGCTGTAATTCTCAGAATGGACAGCAGGTGGCAGTAGCAGCCCAGCGATGCTAAGACTGGACCCAACACTTGGTTACATGTAAAAGACGGGAACCCTTTTATTTTATTTTTCCCTTAGCAGAGATTGTGGCAAAAGAATTCTGGGAGTTGAAGTCCACCCATTATGCTTCAAGCTTCTCCAGAATGTAATCTTTACATCAAACGTCAAAAAATCCACAAAGAGGGTTAGTTTTGTCAATGGCAAAACAGATGAGTTGCTGTAAATTGCTCGGCTTCCTTTGGAGAATCAATAGCAACACACACACACACACACACATATATGTATGTATGTATGCAGCATAAATGGAAACATAAGTTATGACCAGCAGAGAGTATAGCTTTCTGCTAGCCTTGTAAATCTGGGGCTCTGCTATTGACTCCGTCTGCATTTTTATAAGCCAAGGTGTTGTAGCCGAAGATGAATGTCAAATATAATTGGAAAAGTGGGGAAGAGAAGGCAGGCTTTGGGGCTGCCATGCCTTGAATATGGATCATGTTTTATGCTGATTTTACTGAAATGATACCCACCAGACTAAGCTCGCCTGCCAGAAAGCACCTGGTTTTCAGACCGTATTATTTCTTATTTATTAGATGGATAGTAGATGGATATTCCTCAAGAGCTCCAGGTAGCTGCCCCGCAGCTATCCCTCCTTCCCCATTTCCCCCCCATCCCCAAACAACAGCCTTGTGAGGTAGGCTGGGCTGAGGGTAAATAAAAGACCTCAAAGTCACTCTAGATTTCCGTGGCTGCCAATGGATTTGAACCCAGATCTCCCCTGTTTTATTCCGAATCCCTTCGCGGCTAGATGTGGAGATGGATGTAGCCCTGCCCTGTCTCCGGTATTTCTGCGTTCATTGAGAAGCAAACTTGCAAAAAACTTTTCCCCCTCCCCCGAATCCGGAAACCCCAGTGGGCCGGGCAGATTATTTTCCTAGGGTTGGAAAATGCGGGCCCTTAAGGGTGAGATCAAAGAATAAGTAGCAGGGCGTCCACAGGAAGTGGGTCAAAAAAGTCAATGTGGCGACTACAACCCTGCGGTCAAGCCCACCCCCTTTTTTTACATGGCAGAACCCATTAAAAAAGGGCAGCTTTGATTACATGGCTGCTCCTATAACGTTTTTGAGCCCCAGATTCCTGGTGTCAGAGTGGGATAAAACTCTCCGAGGCGCCCATTCTACAGATCACAGCTGGCTCGGTTCGCTCAACGAAATCACCCAGATGTCAGAGGGAAAACAGCGTCCTCCTTGAGATGCTAGGTTTCTAGATTCAGGGATTCTTGTTCCAAGACTCCCCCCCCCCACAGAGCCCCACAGATACCGAAATCACACATGTGAGGAAGAATCTAATCTTTCTCTACCTTTAAGGGAAGAAAAGAGCAGGGGGTTGGACTAGATGACCTCCAAGGTCCCTTCCAACATCATCATCATCATCATCATCATCATCATCATCATCATCATCATCATCATCATCATCATCATCATCATTATTATTATTATTATTATTATTATTATTATTATTATTATTATTATCATCATCATCATCTGCCTGTGGCTCCCAGCCTCAGTCTATTAAACTCTGCTATATATTGTGAATTTAGCTCTAATTCCTTCTTAGAATCCAAACGTGTCCTATAAATGGATGATGATGATGATTTGATTTGAGAGTTTCCTTCGCTGACTTTCAAAACAGAAGATATTTTTTAAAAAGTAAAAAAACCCCGACAACATTTAGTTCCCTTTCATCAGCAGATCCGGCTGCAGAGAAGAAACAGATGGGGGGTGTCTCCCCATTAATCCATCATTTTGCAATATTCCTTTCCACAGCCCATCCGTCCCCTTAACTGATGCTGCCAGCACCCTGATTAACTTTGTTTATCTCTTAATTAGGTGGAGCATTGCCTGTCTCGTGCTTAAGAAGTAATTGTCTGATTAATGCCTCTGTATTTGCATTCTCATTAAGAGCCCCAAATAACTTTGGCGGCAATTAGCTGCCATGCGATGCACAGATCGGGAGGAACTCTAGAATGACAAGTTTTAAGCTCATTAAGTAATAATTGTAATATCGATCGCTGATAATGGGGCATGGCTGTTGGATACTGGAAGGGGGAGCTGAGTGGTGGTTGAGAAGGTGGAACCAATTTGGCTGAGCGGATTCCTCACCTTTCCTTTATCCTGGGATCTTCTGGACCACGAGGACCACACCCCAGAGCTCCATCTGTTTCCGAAGTGGGACCAATCAACAATCCCCAGGTCAACCGTCTCCTTGTCAAGCCAGTTTCTTGCTGAACCAGCTTTGCTTCTGGTATCTGGTACCCCAAAGTGTGTTGCTGGTGAAAAGAGCTTTTTTTTTTTTCATGCCACGGAGAAGATCTGCATCCATCAGTTTATTCCTGTATGAATCGGGAACTGATCTGTATACGCCTCTCCTTTATTTATTTATTTCTGAAAACCCCAGGAAATCCTTCTGAGCTTCATCCGAACCTCACAAGG